CATTTACATCTCTACTTTTCTCTCTTTCCCAAGCTACCAACCTAGGAAGTAAGCTCTATAACTTCTCTTTCTCAGATGAGACTGTGGATCATCACCTGTCCCAATGCACAGCCATAAATGACATCAGAATTATCACTACATGGCATTGGACAGAAGGGCGAGATCCCAGCTGTTGCTGGATCGATAACAACAGCAACAACAACAACAACCCTTCCTCCTGGGGTGTTTCAGGTCATCATCTACTCATGATGGACCAACAACTATTGTCATTATCATCATTATTCAAGAAAACCACATGCACTACAATCCTGACCACCTGCGCTAACAGCACAAATATATACATGTTTGTAGAACTAAGCAACATACCAATGCTGATTACATAAATGCCTGTGCTCCAAACGAGCACGTCAGCTTCCATAGAAAATTGCATAAAAGTTTTGCAGTACATCAATGGAAAGCCAAAATGTCTGTTACTAGAACTTTGGTCGATTTCTGTCCCGTAGCTATGTCTTTATCTCCTCCGTCATACACTATGACATTTACACATAACTCAAAAAAAAAAAAAGGAAACTGTACAGTACACATACAAAAGTAGTCAACACGGTATATCTAACAATTGTATGTACCAAAATATTCACAAACTTTTTCATATTGTATAGATAAAACATTTGTGTATGTACGTTCCAAATGCAAGAAGGAAAAACATTTCACCAAAGTCAGATACAGAGAAAAACAAAGAAAACATTGTGTTTGTATTGCAGTCGAGAAGAAATCATTGCAAATGTCCATGACAAATAAGGTGCCTACAAACTATCCCTTGAGAGAGCAACACAGACTTCAACATAAGTTAAGGACCACTTGCAAATTTGGCTAAAATTCCCCGAGGATTTCCGTGCTGCACGTGGTGGTTTTGCCCCTTTAGGAAGCTTTACAGTACGCATTGGTAGCCCATAACGATTAACACTTTCCGAACAAAACATTTCTAAAAATTCCGAGCTGTCTTTTTTTCGGATTTTTAAAAGTCAGGGCTGTCTGTCAAGGCAGTCCTTGAACTTATGGTGAAGTCTGTACCAAGGTGCAGGGATAATTTGCCGGTGTACTCTAGAACTCTTCGCCTCAGTATCTTTGACATTCACAACCTGTTTTTATATTTGTACGGACCATGCTCATTTGTATCACCTCATGCTTTTATATTAAGTAGTTCCGACAAAATACAACAGAGTAGCCTGTTTTGATTACAGTTAATAGTGACCGAACACCCAAAGAGAAACGGTTTTTGCCCGTAAAATTATCTTTTGGTTTTCTTTTCCTCCAATCGAAATGTTACTTTCTTTTTAAGACATTTATCAGAACATTTCTCATCCACGTTTGCCGTAGAAGGACGGAACCAACGGGAAGTGGTCTCAACAACAGAGAAGTATTTCATTGTTCCAATCACATCAGTCCTTCCTTCCTCTTCTCTTTCATGTCAAGAGGCGGTCATCCTCTAACTCCCTACCTGACATTTACACCCACATATAAAGAATCATCCCTCACCTCATGAGAGAATTTATACAACTCAGAAAAGTCCACACCAAACTCAAAAGTGGGAGGACCAGGACACTCCAGATGCCACTACCTCGACAATTGTGAGCCAACTGAAAGAAAACATGGCCGCTTCACTCGATAAATATGTTCCGACTACGCAACAAAAAATGATAGCAACTCTGGGAAAATTTGGAGCAGAGGTACCTAGAGCAGGGGGCTATTTAGAGGTGAACTTTCTGCACTCGTGAGACGATGGGAAATTCTTTAAGGACGCGAGAGACAAATAGGCCTATATCGTCGCATCAGATTCGACCTATTTTGTCCAAAGTGTGCTCAACTATAGAGGGAACCACAGAGGGCACTGTGGACAAAGTAGTTCTGAGGCAGCAATATTGGTGAATTACATTCTGAACCGCCATACACAAACTAGAGACATAAATTTGCATAAATATTTCATGGCGGCACGTTGTAGCCTGTCTGTCAAAGTTTCGGATAAATAGACAAGGAAGGAGCCTTGCCCAAACATCTCACATGGAATGGGTATATTTGTACAAGTAAATCTTCCAGTGTAAATAAAATTGTCTTGTGTTATGAAAAAATAAAAGTAAAGGAAAACAAGGAACATTAGAATAGTAATAAATATGTCACACAACCATTATTTAAATCACAGAACCGTTTCAACTTTTCATTAACTCGGTAAGTTCTGGCACACATGCTGTCATTTTAACCCTTTACGAGCACAAACCACGGGGACATTGTGATATTCTGGCGGTCATTCAACAAAATGTACGCGAAGGTCTTTGCTATCAGCACAAACTGTCGTGAACCATAGCTGGAGGAAAATGCCGTTCTTCTTTGCTTTTCTGTACGTTTACACGACATTGCAGACCATACACACCTTTAGAATGATGGGGTTTTAACTTTACTTTTTGCCACAACTGATTTACACACTACACATTACCGACACTACACATTACTGACACACTACACATTACTGACACAGATGCCCAGCACACTGGATCAATCTCACCTGTAGTGCTTCAGTTTGAAACTTAACAAGTAGGTCTACCTGTAGGAATCAACCCACTTTAGACTTTAAGTATGACAGTTTGAATCTTGGAATCCCGTATTCTCAAATGTTTTCGTCGCGGAGTTAAAAACCCTATCATTCTAAGGACGGGAATGGTCGCTGATACATCAACCACCAACAAACATTTTCCTGTCAATGTGGGGAGAACTCGCGACCTCACAGCTTTCTTGTCTGTCTCGATATTTAACAACAGAGAAAAGAGTTCACAACAAAGTGAGGGCTACAAAAAAGGAGATAAAAAAAGACAGCTCGGAGGTCGCGAACTCATCGCCTTCTTCATCACCATGAGAGTCTACTCGTGCGGACTCGCGTCTTTCTCGGTTTTCTGCTGTCCTTTTCCTGCACTCCAATCATAGGGATAAGCACTCTGCCTTCAAAAACATCCATAAAGACAGTGCTAAACTAGTTTTTTTTAAAAACAAAACAAAGTTTTAAAAATAAACAAATGTGAGGCAGCGTGGTGAAATCAGGCGCTCGTCAAAAGGATGAAAAAGAAGAAATCAGCGTTTTCCTGCTTGTGGCCAATTTGTATCTCATTTCTGTTTTTAGGCCCATCACCTTTTAAGCTCATTTAAAAACACATTCCTGTTTGGATTTTACTGACAAATGTTGCTTAAAAGACATAAAAATGTCATTATGCAGTTCCCACGGACTCTCAAGCTTTGGAAGTCCCCTAACTTTAGCGGACGTTTTCAACCTAATTTTACCTCCTCTGAATTTAGGCAACCCCCGCCCCCTTCAATTGAAAATATCTTCTCAGCTTCTACTTAAGACAGATGAATATTTTTGTCATAGAAAGCAAGACAAATGAACAAGCTTTTAGATACCAATAACTCTATATATACCCAAAAATTGACAAGTGCTAATTCCACTGCGCCGTGACACAAATCATTCGTGAAACATTCTACATGTAAAACATCCTCACACAGTTTTATGTACACAAATGGAATACAATATAATCACAAATGTAATAAAGTGTATTCACAAATATAACAGAATTATAGAATAGATTCAACCTGAAATAGAAAATCCTCCTGATCACATTGGAATGTAACTGGTACTTGCACAGAACGCAGTCCGTAAAAGTCGATTCAAAATAGTCTGAAAGTTACACGAGGGAATGCACACACAGATTATTTTATATATATATATATCCTCTCATGCTTATACATACTCCAGGAACTTGCACACACACACACACACACACACACAGACCCACATCCAGAGGTACACATCACAACATGGTAAATACGTTTGTTTTTTTCCTGCGCCCCTCCAATACTGATGTGACGACATTAGCAATATGTGATATACACAACAACAAGAGTGGCACCACAGAACAGACACTGGTGTCGACCAGAGACACCCAGCGGAATGCTGTCTGGTCAAACACCAAACGAATGTGCCAACATCTCGACAACAAAGGTTTATCTCAACTTAACTAGTCTTATGACCTCATCTCATCATTTAGGGGTCACCTCTGCCCAGCGGTCCTGATCGCGTGAACTAGCAGCCACTGTTCCAGCACACCCTGACATTTTCCCCTATACAGTAGAACACGGATAGGTCGAACGTAGAAGACTCGAAATCACACAACTGTCGAACTGTACCTGTGGCTCTGGGTTTTTTTCTTCTTTCTCTTTGTAAGATATCCCTTGAACTACGGATCCCTTGAACTACCGAGGCCGGATTCAAGCTATCCGTGATTTACCGTATTTCTAACCTGTCCTAGGCAGCCCCTGTCTAGCACAGTCATGCTCAGGTTTTTTTGTGACAATTCAGCCTCAAAAACTGTTCACAGCAGTCGCTTGCCACAAACTTTTCCACTTACCCTTCTATAAAATGAGTGAACTTTCAATCAATGCAAAGAAACTCTTGTGATACTTGTGATAAATATAACAATTTTTATGGGCATGAGATAAAAACATAGAACTAAAAATTCAGATTTGAAACTGTGCGTTGACTTTGTCAAGTCCAGTAAGTGACCATAACTCACGACCTTGTCTCTGACGGCCATCTGTCTATAGCCCAGTTTTACGGCACTTACAACACGATATGGCCATACAACTGCTTTCATGACCCAAGTAAAAATCCTCTAGAAACATAAAAATACAAAAATGGTCTTTGATGTGAAAAAAAACCCAAAGACCGAAGCCGGAGCAAAGCTGATGATGTGACCACTGGGTCTGTAGTGACCCCCCTGCCACGACCATCACAGCTAACGACTGTCTGCCGGCTGGCAAGTTACCAAGGGGAACCACTCCGTCACTTGTCCGTCACTTCTCCTTCACTCCTCCGTCACTTGTCCTTCACTTCATTTCTCCGTCACTTCTCCGTCACTCCTCCTTCACTCCTCCGTCACTTCTCCGTCACTCCTCCGTCACTCCTCCGTCACTCCTCCGTCACTCCTCTGTCACTTCTCCGTCACTTGTCCGTCACTTCTCCTTCACTCCTCCGTCACTTCTTGCCCAGTCTCGCCTCCTCCTCCCTGCCAAGGAAAAACATACAAAAAGTTGAAACTTTGAGATAAAAAAATAGAAATAAGAATAAATATAAATATAAAGAAATGATAACTATAATAATAATGCACATGATTTCTATAGTGCAAACTCTGGTACAATACAGCTCTAGGCCATTGACAACCCCTTCACCTGGACATAACATACAAGTGAGTGAACGTACATAACCGTGCTCACAAACACACTTTCGATTAACTCTAAAGGCCCGGTTACACGTAACGATAAATTGTACACAAACTGGACGATCTAGGGATCATACGATAAATCGTTAGGTGTAACCACAAAATTGTACAAAATTTAGACGATTGATTGCGAACGATGGTTTGGAGACTCGGTCGAGAAATTAAGCGCTGCTTGATGTTTTATGTGAGATCACGTTCAGATGTGAGGGAGACGCACTGTGACGTAGATCAGATTCACTTTGAAATTTGCCGCCGCGTAGAATTAAACTCAGGACTCAAATTTTTTTTTATAATTACCGTACGTAAAAACTGATTTTATATTCGGAATCAGCATCACAAAATAAGCCCAGTTGCTCACGGTGAACCTGATTTGGAGCGTTATTATTTATATGTTAGCAATTTTTAGTTGATCGTCACTATTGTGAAGCTGTACATCAAGGTCACTCGGTGCGTCACACATCTGCAGTCAAGTCAAAGCTTCCGGTTCTACACACAACACGGTTGGCCTACTGTATGGCCTCCACAGCTTACTAGATTGTCTCCCTTTTCTAAAGACACTGTTCTGCTATATCAAAATGTACAAGGGAAAGGGGGCGGGTTTCTAGAGGTGGTGTTCGCCTTTCATTCATTAGGTCCAGAGCTCGAAACCTTCACATAGAGTGCAGGTAAATCGCTGTCGTATCAAAGAGACATGGTGGCTTTATGACGAGGAATCTCCACAATCGATAGAAAATTGGACGATAGATTGGAACGTGTAAACAGACAACACAGTTCGATAAAACGGACAGTTCTCTCATATGACGAAACTGATACTATTTATCGTTGCGTGTAACCGGGGCTTGACATTTGAGGGTTTTTTTAGTTTTAGTAAGAGTTTTACGGTACTTGCAACACAATAAGATCATATAAATGCCGAAGATTAGAAGTGTGGTTTGCTCCTTCTTTCCTAATCAAACATCTATCGTCCTGATCTCTCCTCCTTCTTTTTTGTGTTTGTTACTCTCTTATAACACCTCTAATCTTCAGCACATACATAGCCTGTTTTAAGTGTCTGTGTTGCAAGTGCCGTAAAAACTCTTACTAAAACTACAAAACTAAAACAAAAACAAAACACTGTCTTACTTGGCCTGTGCCTCCCTCCTCTCGATGAGCGCTCTCTTCCAGGCCGGCATGTCCTTGAACCGGGCCTCGTAGTCCTCCACCTGAAACAGCGATGGGTGGACCACTGGTTAGCGAGTTCACACTCGTCTATTACGGTATGTAAAGTAAGTGTCGGTGACACGAGGTGTCAGTTCCCATTCAACTATAATGTCATGCAAGTGTCGGTGACACGAGGTGTCAGTTCCCATTCAACTATAATGTCATGCAAGTGTCGGTGACACGAGGTGTCAGTTCCCATTCAACTATAATGTCA